GACACACACATTTTTATTGATATTTTTGTGTAGTTATCATTTGTTGTTGACAAATATTTTTTGATGGCTATCATTTAATGGATTGTTATTAGGCTTTTAATATGTAATCGATATATTTAATATATGAAATATTTTTAGTTTTTGATTTAATGGATTGGTTTAATAATGACATCAAAGTTGTCAATAGTTTGACATTTGAAAAATTAGAAACTAATTTAACGAAAATAAAATATAAAACAAAAATTATCTTTACCCTCTTGGAAGATAAAATTATATACAAATTATGTGATTTTAATTTTTTTTCATCAATTTAATTTTTAGTTTCTTAGAATTTTTTTTTTCTTCTGAAAATAGGTTTTGAAAACCAAACTAAACAGAACTTTATAACAAAGAAAGTGTCAGTATTATTCATTAAAATAAGGCCACCACATTTCAAATAACATACAAGTTAATCAATACCAATAAATTGTGTGACGATTTTGTCCTTGAAATAAACCGTTTGCGAAGAAAATATCTTTGATTGTCTTTACTTAAAATAACATTCAAAATTCATGATCAAATGTATCACAATTGTAAAGTTAAGAACTAAAATAATATAAATCTCAAACTATAGGGATTATTAATGTAATTCGCCTTAAATTCAATAATAAATTTGAGATATTTATGATAGAAATAGTCAAATCTGTTTGAAGGATTCACTTTTTTACAATACTTTAAATTGTAATATCTACTTAGATGATTCTGAAACTGATTACACAGTATAAACAAAGGACATTTTCTCACTAATTAAATTTAGGTTTTGTTTGGCATGTACTAAAATAACATATACTATTTTAGCATATTATTCTATTCGGGTCACAATCATATTATTTATATCATATCACCTCTTTATTATATCACTTTAAATTCAATCTATATTTTACATTTTTTTTATAAAAAATTAAAAAATTTACTAATCCAATACTTTCCAAATTATCCGTTAGTTCACACTTCCCACTGGATAGGCAAAACCTTTGCACATTTGCTTACTTTGGAAGTAATATAAGCAAGGCAGTCATCTCGGTTGTGACTTGTGAGGAAAAAGTTATGTATTTTTATCGAGTACTTGCCATATATTTTTTAATCACTTTTGAACCGTCCATTGTATACTTTGACAGGATCCAAGGCTATCAATACTTGGCTAGTTTTGTCATTTAAAAATGATAACCACATTAGCTAAATTTCTCACTAATAAATATATATATATATATATATGTAAAAAGTGTATCACATGGCACCGTCCGCACCCCATACTTCCTTAATGAGCCTTTTTACATTTTCTTTGCAAAGGGTGCAAGAAAAAAGGTTGGTTGAAAGCATATTATTCCTTTCTTTGGGTTTTTAAAATCAAGAGCAAACATCATAAAGACACCTTTTTTCATTGATAAGATGTAAATTGTTACAATGACCCTGTTTGAGAATTTTATTATTTTAGTTGATTTTTTAGTTATTTTAATCTAGTTTAAAAAGTTGTATTTGAGAATATAGTTGATTTTTTAATTATTTTTTTTTATAGTTGATTTGATAGTTGTGAGAAAAAAATTAAATAATTATGATTTAGATAGGATATTTTGTCTTATTAATTATTTTAGCCTCCAACCCTCTTCTCAAGCGGACCAATGTATATGTCTTTAAATGTGTGAATATTTAAAACTAGATAAAAATAAAAATAAAAAATATTTGATAAGTTGTCGAAAATAATAACGGTTGGTGGGGGTGACTAAATGTAATGTTCGATGACTAAGTAGCCAGACATGGGCATTAGACATAATAGATCGAAGTGTCGTTGAATGCCTCTAGCAATCATAGGAGATTGATCACAGAGGCGACAAAGCCAACGAGAGGATTGTTGGATGCAGCGTAATTTGGTTAGCACTAGACATTGACCATTGGCAAGTCGATGGTGGATGGTTTCCAAAGGTGGCGAGGGAGTGAGTGAGGACCTGGTTTAAGCTTTTTTTTTTAAAAAAAAGTACTTTAAAAAACATATAACTATTATAAAAAGAAAAATGAAATGCACATTAAATTTTTATTATTGATTTATAAAATAAATAAAAAAATAAAACGTTAACAAATGAGCTGAATGTCAATGTCGACTCCAAATATATAAGATAAAAGGTTAAAAATTTATTGCAATTCATGGAAATTATCCCATATTCCTCTTGTTTTATTTTCATATATTGTATTCCAAGGACAATTGTTAACAAAGATTTTAAAAAAATATTAGTGAAAATATGTTGGATACGAGGATCCGTTTGGTTGAGACCATTTGGCAACATTTATAATTTTAATCAGCTTGCTTGTTTTCATTTTTTAAAAAACACTTTTCAAAAAATTTTACTTTCTTATTTTCTGTATTTTTTTATTTTTACTGAATTTTTTTAATATTTTAAACAATTTTTTTACTTTTTAGACACACCTAACATAAATATACTTAAAAAGTAAAAAAATTGTAAATTTTTTTTAAAAAAATTCACTAAATACCAAAAATATAAAAAAATATAAGAATTCAGTACATTTTTTTGTATTTATTAATTTTTTAAAATATTTTTTCACAAATTTTTTACTTTTTAGATAATCTAAGTAATGTGCATCTAAAAAAGTAAAAAAAATGTTTTAAATTTTAAAAATATTCACTAAAAACAAAAAAAATACAAAAATCAAAAAACTTAGTTTTCAAAAAACTTAATTTAGAAAACTTAAACCAAACACACTGAATAATGTTTGGGAGCTCTAATTTGAGAGTTCTAATAGAACTCCAATAATGGGTCTTAGATTTCTAATAGAACTCTAATGGTGGGTCTCACATAATAATGTGATGTTTTGACTTGTGTAATTTTTTTTTATATGCCACGTCACTAGAGTTAAATTAGAGTTTTTTATCACTACCTTTATAATTTACGGTTCTTGATTTACACAAAATATTAAATATATTTATATTTAATTTTTAAAAAACAAAACAAAAAAAAACGTTTATTACTCACATTAAAAAAATTTGTTTTGAAAACACTATTCAAATTTGTTTTGAGCAGTAGTTGAAATCGGTAGGAGAGGGCGAAAAAAATTAAAATTATTTTATAAATAAATTTTAGTTATGATAATTTAATAAAAATTATAAATGTTTATAATATATAAATTTTATTAAGGTCTCGTTTGGGAACAGACTAATTTAGTAACTTTTTGACTACTTAGTTAAAAAGGTAGGTAAAAAAAACTTGTATGTTTGGAATGATTTTTTGGCTAATTACAAAAAGATGTGTAAAAAGTAAAGAGAAAAGAGAATTTTTAACTTTTTAATACTATGAATTGTTAACTTTTTAGTTAATTTAATAACTTTTTAACTAATTAGTTAAAAAGTAAGTCCCCAAACGGGCCTAAGATAAGATAAAAAATTATGACTAATTTTAAAGAAATTGAGTTCCAACACCTGAAAGCGGCTCAATTATTCGGAGTCGCATTTTCATGTTCTCCCCTCTCCCAAACCCCAATCTCTCGTTTACCCGTGCTTACGTTCTTTTAGCTCTCCCTCTCTCTCTCTCTCTCTGTCTCTCTGTCTCTCTCTCTTCTTTATATACGACACTACTCTCTAGCTTTCGCTGAGTAATTCTATTCTCTCTCTATATTTATCTACCTATATGTGCGATCGATAGCCAATTGAAAACAAAACCCTAGAAAATTCGATCTCTAAAACCTCTTCGCACTTCACAATCATCAATCCATCATCTTTCAATTTTCCATCTTCTATTTTTTCTAAATATTTTATTTTTTAGATACATCTAAGTAATGTGCATCTAAAAAAGTAAAAAAAATGTTTTAAATTTTAAAAATATTCACTAAAAACAAAAAAAATACGAAAATCAAAAAACTTAGTTTTCAAAAAACTTAATTTAGAAAACTTAAACCAAACACACTGAATAATGTTTGGGAGCTCTAATTTGAGAGTTCTAATAGAACTCTAATGATGGGTCTTACATTTCTAATAGAACTCTAATGGTGGGTCTCACATAATAATGTGATGTTTTGACTTGTGTAATTTTTTTTTATTTGCCACGTCACTAGAGTTAAATTAGAGTTCTTTATCACTACCTTTATAATTTACGGTTCTTGATTTACACAAAATATTAAATATATTTATATTTAATTTTTAAAAAACAAAACAAAAAAAAACGTTTATTACTCACATTAAAAAAATTTGTTTTGAAAACACGACAGATGTGATATTGTGAGTAGTAGTTGAAATCGGTAGGAGAGGGCGAAAAAAATTAAAATTATTTTATAAATAAATTTTAGTTATGATAATTTAATAAAAATTATAAATGTTTATAATATATAAATTTTATTAAGGTCTCGTTTGGGAACAGACTAATTTAGTAACTTTTTGACTACTTAGCTAAAAAGGTAGGTAAAAAAAACTTGTATGTTTAGAATAATTTTTTGACTAATTACAAAAAGATATGTAAAAAATAGAAAGAAAAGAGAATTTTTAACTTTTTAATATAAATTATTGACTTTTTAATTAATTTAATAACTTTTTAACTAATCTATACTATTATAAAGTGAACAGGAACTTTGGTGTCCTGAAACTTTACTCTCCTCATGCATGACCATGGGTTTAAGTACGAGAACTCATACCACTTAAGCTAAATACACATTATAATATTAATTTTATTATTATTTTTTTTTATTCCTGGAATGATTTTTTGGCTAATTACAAAAAGATGTGTAAAAAGTAAAGAGAAAAGAGAATTTTTAACTTTTTAATACTATGAATTGTTAACTTTTTAGTTAATTTAATAACTTTTTAACTAATTAGTTAAAAAGTAAGTCCCCAAACGGGTTAGGCCTAATATAAAAAATTATGACTAATTTTAAAGAAATTGAGTTCCAACACCTGAAAGCGGCTCAATTATTCGGGGTCGCATTTTCATGTTCTCCCCTCTCCCAAACCCCAATCTCTCGTTTACCCGTGCTTACGTTCTTTTAGCTCTCCCTCTCTCTCTCTCTCTCTGTCTCTCTGTCTCTCTCTCTTCTTTATATACGACACTACTCTCTAGCTTTCGCTGAGTAATTCTATTCTCTCTCTATATTTATCTACCTATATGTGCGATCGATAGCCAATTGAAAACAAAACCCTAGAAAATTCGATCTCTAAAACCTCTTCGCACTTCACAATCATCAATCCCACCATCCTTTAACCTTTTCCATCTTCCGATCTATTTTTTACTTCATTTTGTTAATCTTTTTTAACTTTTCTTGTTTATCAATCACAGTGTTGAGAATCGATCGATTTCGCCTTTGATTCTTTGAATCGTGCAATGGTCTGAGTTTGTTGATTTCAAGATGAAGTTGAAGAGGAGGAGGGCTTCGGAAGTGGTACAATAAGTGTTCTCTTTTTTAATCTTTTGATTGATGAATGTATTAGTTTTTTCAGTGTGTGATTATTTAGGGTTTATGTTTTCACTGAACCATCAAAGTAATTTCCGTAGTTTGCAATGATCGGAAAGCGATTGACCCACTGTTTATCCAGAATTTGATGGTCTAAAGATTGTTTCTTTCACTTAGAATCGGATTGAAGAATTTTAAATTCTTTCTTATTGACACTAAGCACGGATTGTTAGTTTTGGAAATTGTTGAAATTATAACGAAGTTAATTGCTTTTTATGCCAAGTATATTGATTTTGTTTTTGTGATGTTGTTTTTAATAACAGATGACATATTGATATTCTTTCTTTCTTGAAAAAAAAAAAAAAAAAAACCTCCTCTCTTTTGTGCCCTTGAAGTTTTGCCAAGGAAGAATTCAGAAATTTTGTGGTTAGATGGAATTATAATGAAAGTCTCTGTCATTCTATTTGTTTTTCTATGTCTAAAAGAATTAAGTCAGCATCTCAACTTTCTTTGTCTTATTCTCTGGATAGTTATAGGAGAATCATAATGTGTATGTCATCTGGAGAATGTAAGATATTTCATACAACTCAGGTGTTTGGTGTAATGGAATATGGTTGGAAACTTTACTTATTGATGGAATCTGTTGGGTGATAACATTGGTGACATTTGTATGGTGGAGGAAGCTTCTTGGAGTTGGATATTAGATAAGCAACAGCGGATTAGTGTTTTCTTTTGAAAGTTAGGGCTCAGAAATTCATAGAGAGAATATTTCAGTTCCTGATATAACCAATTGTGGGTTAGTTATTTCATTAGATAGTTGATGTTTTACCTTGTTTATCTACTGTGTCTGCTATCTGTTTCTTTTGTTTCTTGATATTCTATTGTTTTTATTTGGGTTTCACTGCATATGCTGATTGCCCTGACTTGGTGTTTGGTTCTTCTTGAACTTGTGCCCATAATGCTGGTCCGGGTCAAATAGTCTGAAATTTCAGCCTAAATATAGGATGTGACATGGCTCCAATGCTGGGGTGTGTGTGGCTTTCAGCTTTCAGCTTTCAGCAAGAGAGGAGAAAACTTGGCTGTGGGGGTATCCCTGACCTATTGCCACCCTTGGGTTCAATATATAACTTTCTTTGCTTTTTCTCTTTGACAAGAGCTAAAGAACATTATAGATAGATAGTGAAGAGTAAAAAAAATTATAGATGGATAGTGAAGAGTAAAAAAAATGAAGGATGAGAAATCATTCAGAGAAAATAGGAAGCAAATACATGAGAATGAATGCACTAGATAAACAAAGAAATGCAAGATCGTCTCCTGCACCTTGGGGGCATCCCAAGAAAAAAACAGAGGCAACCTCAATCTCAATCATTAACAATTTTGTCCTTGTTTGTTTAGGGCTAAACTCTTGTGGCTTTAAATGTGTAAATACTAGGAAGGGATGTGAATTCACTTATAAAGAGCAAGAACTTTATTTTTTGACCCTAATGATGTGGGACTGGGTTCTACACTTGCCCTCTTAGGACCACACATTCTCACGTGTCAATGTTCTATTGTGATTTAAAAGGTGGCTCACACCACGCCTCCACTTTGTGATGCATTGCTTTGGTCTATACAACATGTTGGTTCAGCACATTGCAAGGTAGGTCACTCTTCTAGTTGTCTAGGTCACCTTCCATGGTAGATTTCTTTTTGGGGACATGGAAATATTCATATTGTTGGCAACTTGATTTGGTGATGGCAAAAAGCAAGATGGTGAATTGGTCAATCATCTTCTATCCATTGCCCGGTGGCGAGGGAACTTTGGGTAATGATTATAAGCATGTATATAGTTCATTGGGTGTTCTCAAGTTGTGTGGCAAACCTTATTCATAGTTAGTAGGGGGAGAGGGGAAGAAAAGGAAGCAAGGCTTGGCTTTTTGGGCCTTTGTGTTTGATGTTGTGGATTATGGGTGAGAGCACAACTAATGTTCTTGATGGGTGGAGGTGGAACCTTTGTTTAAGTTGAAAATAGTAGATTTTTTTACAAATTAGCACTTTTGTGTTGTTGGTAATTGGTGAATATTGATCATTTATTGG